CCGCCCGTACCCACTCACCACCCCCACAGACGCACTGATGACATAAAATGTATTACACAACTCGTGAGGTAAGTCGGTTTTACACGCGAGTGCGGCGAAGCCCGACTTACCTCACTTGTTGTGTAAAATACCATTATTCTTTCCATATCACCTTGAACTCGTTTCAGCCGGTTTTTGTAAAAAGATTAAATTTTCAAGCCATATTTCAGATTTTTCCATCCCTTGTTGATTGAAAATTCATGACGCAGAATTTACCCCGCATTTCAGTCGTTTTTTCCACCCTCGAGGTATCTCAAGAGGTGGCATCACTCGTCTTGAAACATATCATCAAAATAAAAAATATCTTTATTAAAAAGATATCATAGGCTCCCCAGAATGATTGATTCTATTCTCCACAGAATTCATATGTCATTCGTCCAACAAAATAAGCTATTAAAATAAATTAAGTCAGTTGATAAGAATTCAGAATTACGAACACAGGGAAAACAGTCAGTTGTTTGTAGAAAAACACTCTGCGTTATAAATTTTCAGCCAAAAAAAAAAAGTAAAATCTGAAAGATGGCTTGAAACATTTGTATTTTTTATAAAAATCAGATCCAACGAGTTAAAGGTGATCTGAAAAGGATAAATAATTGTGAGAAATGTTCAAAGATTCGAGATGGTTGACAACTCTGGACGCCGCCATCTTACTTGAAGACCTCCCTTTGTCACAAAGGATTTAGAGATGTCGTCAACCCCCACCTCGTACTTTTAAACATTCCTTAGAATTTAAAAAAATTTCAAATTTCACCGGTTTTTCGTTGCAAGGGTTAACTTGCCAACGCGGCCACACTGAGAAAAAAATTTACTTGTGAGAAATAAATTTCCTTAGCACAAGTAAATATTCAACTGTCTCATATAAAACCTCCATTTGATTACTTGTGTCAAGAAAATTTTCTCTGTTTTTCTTGGGAGAAGTAAATTTTTCTCTCAGTGCATCGCCCGATGAGGGCCTTCAGCCAGGTAATGTTGAATGTGGAGTGGGTTTTTTCACTTGGAAAATCTGTGGAATATTCGGTTTGAAAATTGTATTAAATTTTCAGATGAATATTATGTGGAAATTTGTGATGAAAAATTGGTGTGGAATTGGTCTGGGAGTTTGAGGTTGTGAATCTCATGCTGCTACCAAGTGCACCACACAGCCGGGTTTCCTTAGAACTATTTATTCTTTTTCCATAGCACTCTCAACTCGTTTCATCCGATTTTTATAAAAACAATAAATTTTTAAGCCATTTTTCAGATTTTTCTATCCCTCCTTGACTGAAAATTCATGGCGCAGAGTTTCCGCCGCATTTCAGTCGTTACCCGTTTCATAACACATCATCAAAATAAAAAATATCTTTATTAGAAAGATATCATCAGCCCCCAGAATGATTGATTCTATTTTCTCCAGAATTCATATGTCATTCGTCCAACGAAATAGGGTATTGAAATAAATTAAGTCAGTTGATAAAACCTGACAATTACGAAGACAGGGAGAATCGTCAGTGTTTGGTAGAGAGACACGCGAACCACCGCCTCTACTTACTTGTTTTACATGCCAACGCGATTGAATCGTGGGTGAGGTGACCGATTGTATCTCGGCGTGAGCCCAATCTACGCGATTTATCAACGCCGCGGGGGCAACTTCACCTCTCGCTGTGAAAATATACGTGTGTGTGTATTATGGGAAGAGGACTGCCTCTGTGCAGTGCTCTTCCTTTGCAGATTGATGTTACTATAACAACACGTCGGTTATTCATCGTTCGCACAGGCCGCTGCATTAATCAAGAGACCCCCCTCCGCCCCTCTCACTCTTCCGCCCCGCGTTTCCCTACGACTCATTCCCCTATACTCGTTCCTATATACACTCCACCACCTCCTGCTTCGACGTAAAATACAAATGATATTTTATAGCGTCATAAATCCTGGACAACTGTCAACCGTTTGCCTGTGGGCGTGTGAGTTTATGTACATATATGAAAGCATTAACAAAAGATATTTTTCTAACAGGTTTGGAATAGTGAGGAATTAATTTATCGAGACTCGTGTGACGTTTGTGTTTCTATTGAGGCGTAGATTTTTTTTTTAATTTTATTTGTAGGTTTTGTAATTTTCAGAGACTGTGGGAATTGAAAACAATTGGTAACAAGTCAATTTCTCACGTTCTGTTAAGTATAAAAATTAGCTAGTTTTAATGTCAAGAGAAATGCGGTAATTTTCAATTGAGATATTTCATAGTATTGTCTTCTTTTGTTGTTTAATTGTTTGTCAGCTCATGTCTAAATTTGAAGTAAAATTGTGCAAGTGGATTCGTTTTATAACTAAAGAAATGAGTGTAAAATAAGAATTTACAAATACTCAGATGACCTGGAATGACGTCACAGTTCTGATCTGTCAACGCCATTTCTAGTAGATGGAAAATTGTGGGATTTCATACGGATTTAAGTTCTTGAAGCCTGAACACTCAATTTCAATAATTTCCTCATGAAAAAAATTATAGGAAATACTTCTGCATAAAAGCCAAGAGAATAGGGATATTTCTTCAATAATTTGTCTTCTTCTATTCGATCATTCACGTCGGATTATGTCTGAATTGAGAGTAAAACTCTGCAAATTGTTTTCTTTTCATTATAAAAAAATTTTAATAAACGATAATTTGAAAACGCTCAAATGATCTTGAATGATGTCAGAACCTCCGATCCATCACAGAATATTGTTGGATAGAACTTTGGAGCAGGTAGGATAGAGACTACGATAATTCACGACGTTAGTTGACAACGAAAATTTACAGAAGAAATGAATAGTCCAGACCGGGAATCGAACCGGGATCCTCCGATTATGCGCCGGGTGCACGTTTGGAATGAAGTATCCGGCTCCTAGTCACTTGTTCATTTCGTTTAAATTAAAAGAATGATCACCTACGATGATTAATTCTAAATTGGTCACCACGCGAGCAGTGATCGGCAAAAATTTCTACTCAGTAATTTTAAACGGAGTTTACCGTAAATTAATCAAAGTTCAGTACTTTTTAATTTCCATTTGAAAATAATTTTTAATTCTCAATTATAATTAAACAATTAATTCTAAATATCTGAGTTTGATTTTTCAATTAATCTAATAATCATCATTCTTGCGAAGTTCATTACTGATTTATAACATACTTGAAAATTTCAAAAATTTGATTAATGATTAATTTATTATTTAAAAAAGTGAAAATGTTGATGGATAATTAATTGAATCAAATTGAAAAAATTGTACAATACAGTTACCTCATTTTGTATGTAATAAAATCATTTTAACACTCCGTTGGTCGCGCTACACTGCAGTAAAGCCTCAAAAAAATTTGAAAAAATTTGACATTTTATTTTGAAGTGTCTAGAAGCCCTATCAATGAAAATGTCCTCTAAAAACAGCATAAGTAGTTGGTTTTTCAAATTTTTATTCCGAAACTCCGGGCCGTATACCATGTATAAGACAAATTCTCAGAAAATCATGGCAATTTTGAGCTTGAATATATAATCAATCTTTCCAAGATCTTTCAAATTTATCATTACGTCGATTTATGCTGTGGCGACGCGACGCTTACGGCGCGACCAACGGAGTGTTAATTCTCTCTTAAGGAGAGTTTACAATAAACGCGCGTCACTCGTTTACGTCACGTTGCTAAGGTAATTCATATATCTATATTTATTGCAACGCGATGCAGCCGGAGGCCGCACATCGATTGTAGACTCTGCCTTACGATTTTGCCTATCTCTGCACGCGAGGCAATCCCCGCAAAGCTCACTTTAATTTTGTAATATCATTCAGACGGCTAAGTAGAAATTTCTGAAAAAAATCAAGTCTGGTGTTGAAAAGATTTTAAAAATTTTATCAATGATATTTCGATTATTAAGGGGAGACTAATATGAGCGACTAATTAGTGCAAAAAAATTAATTGTTTATGGTTCTTTTGCTCCGCAAACGCTTAGAATGTTAAAAATCGTCCAGGGCCTCCAATTTTGAAGCTACAGAAGTGTTTTTCAAAATTTTTGAAAAAATGTGTGCAATAACAATTACGAATTAGTTTTTTGAAATTCGACTCTCACACAGCTAATTTTGTTTTGTTTAATATAAACATTTGCGCCATTCATGTAAAATGGCCAGAAAAATTATCCTTAAAATATTTAAAAAATATTCTCGATTCTTTCAGAAAATTTTTTAAGCATTTTAAGCGTTTGCGACGAACGAACAATAAACAATTAGTTTTTCGTACTAATTATTCGTTTTTAGATATACATAATCGATCTGCAATCTATGAACAATCTCATTTCAATAGCCTACGACTTTTAAAACTCATAGTATAGTCTCCCCTTAAGCTTAGTATCACAATTCGAATAAAAGTTCACACACCAAGTGACGAAACTAGGGTTGATCTCACTTTATTCTTGACAATAAAACGGGTTTAGCGCTTCCTAGCGAGTCAACTATGAAATGTAGGGGGGTGTGACTTCATTATTATTCCTATCTTTAGAAAAGTTTAAATAATTTTATTAAATAAACGCCATGATAAAATTGGACAATTGCTCACGTCCTGAACTTCTTGAAATGTAAACAATCCATTAAATAAATTTTTCAGTTGAAAAAAATAGTTTTAATGCAATTTCCGTAGATGCACATTCAGTCGTAACTCAACTTCTGAACGAGTACAAATAAACCAGTGACAGTGACGTCGAGTTACTCCGGCAACTGTTGGCGTGTGAATAATCGACATGGACTACAAAACGCAACGTCTGAGCGTTGACACCCTGGCCGCAAAACTCAACAGACTCGTATACCAAAGTCTATCCACGTTCGTAATGAATAACACATCTATCTGTATCGAGGCATTTTCATGTCCCCCTTGTCCTGTCCAATGTTGGGAAATTGACGCGCATTTAATGCACGACGGGTGGAGGCAACGAGTGCGTAAACGATTCGTTGACTGATGAAATGACTGCTTGTTATTGTAATTATCCCTGCGATCGATGAAACGATTACAGGTTTGTAGCGCCTACATAAACGCTGATCCCAGCACTGTAATTTGTATCCACGTTCACCTTGTTTTTTATCCAGCTGTTGATTTTTTACTCATGGTCTTTTGCTGATTGGGTGGAGTTGGAAATATGGATAAATCATTCTTGACGTTTGATTAATTGATTTGTTCCTGTGCGATAAGCCTCTAGTAGACTAAGGTATGATGGATAATCACGCGTTATAGTAGACCAGTAGACGAACTTGAGGAATTGGTGCGGGCATCTGTGGGGCGAACCGTGAAGTTTCATTCTCGCCGGTCGATAAATCAGAAATTGGAGAAGAATAGTCTTTGTTGATTTTTCGATCTCTCGATCCTTTTATTTCCACATGACCTTTTCTCCAGTTGAACAACAATTTTGATTTTATGAAAAAATTAGTAGATTCGTACAAAAGGTTAAATATCTCCAGAACTGCTCGGACGGTTGCGTTTTTCCAAAATACCAAACTCCAGTATTGTAAGAGCTAGGATCGTGCCAGATTTCAATTTGCTATCTCCATTAGTTTTTCAGGAAAAACTTGACTCCTTCGTTTGTTTGCAACGAACCTATCGGAAAATACCCGATAATTTTGAAGCTCCTGTGGTATTACAAGTGACAATTTCCTCAATTCTGATTTTGACCAATCAGAGTGCAGTATTCGGGGTCACGTGCTGCATTTCACACTGATAATTTCCCTGTAGCCTGTCAATTGTTTTCTACGAATTTGACAGATATTCCTCACATTTTGGTGAAATGTGTCCCGTAACCCCGAACACTGCACCCTGATCGGCCAAAATCAGAGTTGAAGAACGCGCAGCGCTCGGGATTTTAATCTGCAAAACTGATCCATCCCGTTGCTATGCTACAAAACATTCGGGAAATATCCGATAATTTTGAAGGTCTTGGGGTATTATAGCTGATTATTGTAGATGAATAAATTTGGCCCTGAAGAGGAGCGCTTTCCGCACTCGAAATATTGGCAGCTAGTGTTCGATTAATTGTGTCAGTTATTGCTGGATATGATCGCAGAGTGGCCCACAGAAAGCGTTTTCTTTGAAAATTAAAACTGATTGTTATATCTCAGGAATTACTGGGCCGATCGGCTGAAACAGCGCACCAAAATTGAGCTCAATCATAGCTTCAATGAGCCGAAATTTCAGATTTTCATCTAGAAATTTCACTGTATTTATGTTGAATTTTCTATAAATTAATCGCCAAAAACCCAAGTTGTCATATACATACAGACATGACCCTAAAAACATCATTTCTTCACGTTTCATAATATTCTAGACCATCAAAATCGAAAAATCGATCAAATACAAGACTTCACGGAGAGAAGTATTCAATAAAAATTACGTATCTTTTCCGTAATTCTGGAGCGAAATGTGGTTGTAGGAAATTTTACGGAACTGTCACCAAATTTTTCACGTTCTGTAATTTTTATCCGAATCTCCTGTGAAAAATTACGATACCGTCTCTAAAATTTTCTGAGTCGATTCTGTAATCGGTAAGCGAATTGTGAGTTCCGTAATTTTTACTGAACATTTCTCCGTGATTCTGTACGAAAGCAACAACAGGGGTTTTTGCGAGCATTTTGAAGTTATCATTTTCCAATCATTTTTTATTATAAAAAAATATCATAAAGTTTTCATCTCGAGTTCAGAAGTACAATTGTTTTC